TTATCTTGAATAATGAGAACTGTAGACTAGGAAATGTCAATAGAGTAGTTTAGTATATCAGGGCTTGGCTGAGATTATATGTTTCAAGGACTGCAAAGTTGTGTAGGATCACATATAATAGCAATATAATTTCTTTTAAATTTAAAAACACGTTCCTACTAAAGGAATTACCTATCCAGGAAGTGATTGTTAAATCTAATTACTCTTTTGTTATTAAAAAAAAAGGCAATCAAGAGAGCTCTCTCTAATCCTACAAGACCCTTAAGACCCTCTTCAGAGGCCCTCCCTGCTATCTAAATAAACTGCTGCTATGGCAATACTGTTACACAAAGCAGGTAGGAGGTGACCTGACAAAAGTCTACAGAATCAGGCATGGTAACAATATTGCATGGAAAAATGGCAGATGAGAGCTGGAATGGCTCACTCTTCTTTGTGTTGAATAAGTGTTAAGATATAACCTTGACAGAGGGTTTGGTGTTTCTTCTTCTTCTTCTTCTTCTTCCTCCTCCTCCTCCTCCTCCCCCCTATCTTTTCCTCTCTGTTTTATTTTTAATTAGACTACCATATAAGCCAAACTAATCTATGTTGAAAACTTTCAATTAAAAAAATTGATTATATATATAAAAGAAGAAAATGCATGTGTAAGTTTGAAGCAGTATAATACCACTTTAATGGTCATGGCTTCCCCCAAACAACCCTGGGAGGTGTAGTTTGTTAAGGTCGCTGAGCGTTGTTACCAGCAATCCTGTTCCACTCACAGAACTACAGTTCCCAGAGTTCCCCGGGAAGAGAGACCAATTGTTAAAGCATTCTGGGAACTGTAACTCGGGGGGGGGGAATAGGGGTCTCCTAATAACTCCCAGTGCCCTCAAATTACAAACCCTCACAATGTATATCTTCAATTTCTTCAGAACCAGGACCCACTTTTAACCCAAACAAACATTGGGGGACCCATTTATTAAATATACATGCTTGTAGTGCTCCTGCTGCGACCCACCTTGGATCAGGCCGTGACCTGCCAGTGAGTCCAGACCCACCAGTTGAAGACCCTACAGGATTGTTTGGGGGAAGAAGCCCTGACTGTTTAAAGTGGCATGAAAATGTTTTAAACATACAGTGCAGATGTGGCCTCCTGCCAGCATGGGATTTTGGGTAGTATGGGCAGTCCCTGCCCCAAAAGGGTGTGGAGCCAAGTGGGCGCAAAATAACAATAAACAGAATAAGGAATTGTTGTCAAACTAAGAAATTTTTTTTGTGGGGGCGGGGGACGCCAAATTGTGTCCTCGTTCAGGGCGCCATATTATCAAAGTCTGCCCCTGCTTCTGCATGGAATCTGGCAATTCCAGCCCAGGCGAGCTTCGCTTCTATTGGTCTATCTCTTGTATCAAAATATTGGGAGGAAGAAAACCATGTGTCACACAGCTTGCCCTTTGTGCTGCTCCCAAGATATGGTGTGGGGAAGGATGGTGTTCCATCCGCAGTGTAGATTCAAATGATTCATGGCTTACACATAGGAAGCTCTTGCTAATTCTAAGTAACCACCTGGCCTCACTCCAGCAGCTCTTCCTAGGAAACTATCGGTGGACTTCCTTTTCATTTAGAAATTTAAATTTAAATACTTTATTGTCACTTGTACAACTTGTATACAGTGAGATTACTCGAGCACTCCCCACTCATCTCTCTTAGTCTTAATTCCCCTCGTTAACTGACGCACACCCACCAAATCCGAAAGTCAGTTGCCCTGTTGTTATCTTTTCATTCAGCAGCCTAACAGCCCATGGATAGAAGCTGTTCTTTACCCTGTAGGTGCGACTAATCATGCTTCTATATATTCTGCCTGAGGGCAGGAGATCAAGAAAGTGCCGGCCAGGGTGTGAATTATCCCTGGGAATTTTCCTCACTCTCCTGAGGCAACGTTCTTCTGCTATTTCATTCAGTGGATTCACGGGACAGCCCATAATATCTTGTGCTATATTCACCACCCTCTCTAGGCACTTCCTATCAGATGATGACAAACCAGCGTACCACACCGTGATGCAGTATGAAAGGACACTTTCTATTGTTGACTGTTAGAAGGAGATCATCAAATGTTGATTGACATCATTCTTCTGCAATACTCTGAGGAGATGGAGTCTCTGTAGGCTTTCTTAACCACCTGGGCTTGTATTTGAAACAAACTCGGTAATAGCTATTCCTGCATTTGGTTTGAGGACTTCCCTCCTTCCTCTTCTGTTGCATTAGCGTCCATCCAAGGCCTCTTTGTCTCTTTAGTGATTCTCAATTAGCAGCTCTTCTAGTAACCAACCACTTGGACAATGGTCTTAACTGGTAGGGATTTATCAGTGAGAAAGGACATTCCCTGATATCAATAGAGGAATTACTTAAATGAGAGGTTTCATGGTCGCAAGCGGCTATCTCCGGTGAGTGCTGAAAACACGCTTGCTGCAAAAGATCATATGGATGCTTTCCCCACACATCCATTCTCGGTTGGATTTGGGCTAATGTATGCAAATGTATGCAAATCAGTGCTATATGCCGTGAAAAGGAGAGGGAACCCTTTTTTTAAAAGAGCTGGTACTCTCAGCTCTCTCTGGACACGATGCCAACTCTGAAGGCAAATTGAGGTGCCCCTTTTTTACAATGGAAAGAGGAGCTGTGTGTGTGTGGAGGGGGCAATTAAGATTGGGGCTGTGGCATGCAAAGAGGGGAATTCGGATTATTATTCCGCAGTTGTTAAAAAAATGAAATGAATCACTTTAAGGCTGCAAACCGATGCCTCCTGTGGGATTTGCCAGGGGTGGAGTTTAGTACTATGGCACCCTGAGCTAAGCCAAAATTTGGCGCTCCCCCAGCCCTCGCCTCATGCCGGGCTTTGGGAAGGAGATGCAAGGGCTCTGGCAAAGTCCTAGAGCTCTCACGCCTCCTTCGTACATCTGGTCATGTGCTTACCAGCACCCTCTCTGCTCGGTGGCCAATGCGGGGAACTGCTTCTGAATTTGCACCCATGCGTAGGATCAGGCTGAACAACATGCTTGTATTTTTACACGAATAAGTCATTTTACATGGTTCTCTCTCTCTCTCTCTCTGTATAGTCAGTTCAGTGGAAATAAGTCTGGAGTCCCATAGGAGTCGGTGGAAGAAGAGTCGGTGGAAGAAGATTGGAAGAAATTTAAAGATTATTTACAGAAATATTGCAAAATCAATGAATGTTAGAGTGATGTTGGATTGAAGTTAAGTGGCTTCTAGCTGAACAGGTTTTAAGGCTATAAATGTATCAAGATTAAGTATTAGGACCAAAAAGACTAAGAGAAATGGAAAAATTGGTTCAAACAGGTAAAAATCTAATGTCATAATATATCAAGATTTAGGACTGGAATTAAAAAGGAGGGTAAGAAATTGCTGGGTTTACAAACTGAAATGGAATACAAAAGAGGGAGGTATGAGGAAGTCCGGGAAATAAGTAAATTTAAAAGAGGTTATGAAAGGATGGAATTATTTTTAACTGTTTTTTCTTTTCTTTTCTTCTTTTCTTTTTTTTTACTTTTTTCTATTCTGTACTTTGTATTTTGTATGGTGTATTTTTCTCTGTTTTTGTTAAAATTTTTGTGTTTATTAATGTGATTTTATTTTTTTTCTGAAACTTTAATAAATATTAATTAAAAAAAAAAAGTCTGGAATCCCATAGGATAGACAGAATTTTTGAAGATATATGCTATCTCTTCCTTTCAGCCCTATCAGCTTTTGCTGCCACCAACTAGATACCCCTGTAGCTTGCAGAGGGCCACAGTTTTGGAGGACAATGAAATCTATGTCGTGCTTGCGGATCTCCCCCCTTTTCTTCTTTTGCTCCTTCGTAACAATGCTGCAGCAGTATATGGAATTATATTCTGTCTCTGAATGAGTTTTTGAATAAAATTTGTAGGGCACAAATGCAGCTGGAGAAGCTTTCAGAAGGATAACTTGCATTCTACTCATAGCTGTAGATGGATTTGACGCTTATTGGTCTGACCGTAGGTAGAAGGCTTGACTCAAATTTTTGGTTTGGTTTTTGGCATAATTTGGGCCACAACTTTATTGATTACAGAAAGTGAGTGGTTGCATAGGCTCTGGTTCGACTAGCTCCCTGCCATGCAGGTAGCGCTGACCTAGGGCAACAGCATAGGTCAGCCAAGGGTGAACACCTGGATAAGCGGAAAGTTGGGCACGGGCTAACTCCACCACCCAAATGTCCCCCTGGACTCAGGCACGGGCACAACCCCCTCACAGGGGTTGACCAAACCACTGAGTCCCTGGATTCCTTTAACAGAATACCCTTCAAATAGGGATGGCAAGAGCGTCCTCCCATCCCTATCACCTGAACCAGAGCCTATCCGCAACCTTACAAGTTGTGACAATTTGCTACGCGGCAGGCGAAACCCAAATGGCACCAGCGAATCAGCCAAGTGGGGAAAATTCCTGCCGTGCCCCAGTCCCAAAGACAGACGACACACGACAGCATAGCAAGGTCAAGTGCAACAAGCCCTAAAAGTAGGGAGAGGTGGGTGGGTGTTCCGAATGCATGTGCCGAAAGAGGAAGCTCTGGGTCACATATGTGGGCATAAATAGGTCCCTCAAACCGTTTGGACTGCATCCCATTGGCCAGATTGTACCCAGCTTCGAGGGACCTGGGTGTTGTGGCTTACCAAATGTACCCACCCACAACACAGGGTGTCGGTTGTCCAGGTCTCACTGCAGTACGTGCCCTCTTTAAGGGAGAACCTGATTTGCACTTTCTCAGGAGGACCTTGCAACACGTATCAGCTTTGCTTCAGCACCCAAGTTTGATATCGAGAGAGAGAGAGAGAGAGAGAGAGAGAGAGAGAAAGAGAGGTGTCAACAGTCAAGTTTACCTGGAGAGCTGCTTTCTATCCCGAAAACCCTGGGTTAGAATTACTGAATTGTAGAGTTGAAAGGGACTATGAGGGTCAGCTACTCCAACCCCCTGCTATGCAGAAATCTTTTGCCCACCATGGGGCTCAGACCCACAACCCTGAGATTAAGAGCCTTATGCTCCACTGACTGAGCTAAGCGGTCCTTACAGGGAGTTCTCTCTTTAACTGGCAATATGTTTTTATTTTCTTCAAAATGTAGTGAGCCATCCCTGCTGCAGTTGGGGGAACTGCCTGCTCCCTCTGCTGTGAGAGGGTTCTGCCCCAAAGTCTGACCCTGATGCCATCGCTGGGTTCACACTTAAGATGCAGGGATATATAAGGCAGTGTATTTTGTTCTCCAGCATTGACCTACCCAGATTCCACGATCCAAGACATTTGGTAGAATCATCTGAGGTACCCTTTCTCTCCCCCTTTCCTCATTAGCTACAATAAGACAGGTCTTCAATTACCATTTAAGCAGATGAGAGCTAAATAAATACACGTTTTATGGAGTCCTTGCCTTTGGCGCAGTGGTTGTGGGAAAAAAGGGGGTCATCTTCTGTCAGTGAACTCCTGAGTTCGACAAAGAGTCATAAATCATTTTTATAAGGTCTCTGCTTCTGGGGAATATCTGGTGTACTTTAAAGTTCCAGCTTGAGTTCAAAGTATAAAGGAGAGCTATGCTCTTTCATCATCTCTCCCAGTGTTATTAGACCACCTGCCCGGAGGGTGGAGAGGGCTCCAAACACATGAAAGCAGGGCTGACTCTAGAATAATGCATCTGGGGAATGGCGGTGGTAGCAAAAACCATGACTGGGGCAGCAAGGAATTTATTTTTTGCTCTTATGGCTGCATCTGTCCCTGACCAGGTAGCTACTAGACATACATGCTTATGTGTGCATTCCTGGTGGGCGGGTTCTGCTGGCATCAGGCCTACAGCCATGACACCCTGAAAGCATCTCAGAAGTTAAGCAGGGTCAGGCCTGGTTAGTATTTGGATGGGAGACCGCCTGGGGATACCGGGCGGTAGTTAACCTGTGGGATGGCTCAGTTGGTAGAGTATGAGGCTCTTAAGCTCAGGCTCATGGGTTAGAGCCCCACCTTGGGTAAAAAGATGATTGAATCACAGGGGGTTGGACTAGATGACCCTCATGGTCCCTTCCAACTCTATAATTCCATGATCCTAGGAAAGCTGCATCTCTTCCAGTTAACTTTATGGGTGGGTTGCAACACAGAGGGTAGCAGCTGTGAAAAGGAACCGAAAATATACACTATAACGCCGTTATACAAATCTGTGGTGCAACCAATGCTGCTTTGGTTGCCACACCTCAGAAAGGATATTGTAGAGCTGGACAACGGTGGTCACAGTATCCCAGTCCGGGATCTGCTAAATTTGGTATGCATATATAAGACAGGAGACGAGATCCCAGTTTACAGGGCCTGTGCTTTACATATACTTAGCAGAATGATTGATCTAGCACCTGCAACGGCGACACAGTATTCCTTCTGCAATCTCTGTTTTGTTGCAGTCAAAATAATAGTGATTGACCAAACAATTACGGCGAATTTGATCGATTGTATACCGGGAAGAGGACGCAGGCAGGCTCAAGCCCTTGTACGGCTAGTCCAGTGAAACGTAACGCAAATGGACACCAGAATTAATCAACGAAACCAGGACTGTTGATGACAGCTAAAGTACCAGTTCCTGGTTTGCTAATGCAGACGAGGGCACTTGAAAAACAAGATCAATATGAAAAGATTAAATACCCAGCCATATAAAATCCTAAAAATACTCCGTTGTTAGTGCTCTCTAGGTGATGGGTTCATAAGAAGAAAAGCATGCAGGTTCACTGACTGGTTGCCATTCTCTGCTATGGATTCTCCCAGAAGGCTGTGTCAATCGACAGGGAGACAGAGCAGGGGTATCTGGGCCTTCAGGGTTCATGGCCTCCTCCACGAGACATAGAGGGCCACAGCACAGAATTGGCTGTGGAAGCCGAGCCTATTCAGCTGCTAGATAAAAGAGTGCTCACCTGAAGAAGAACTCCTCTGGAGTAAGGGGCTACTTGCAAGGAAGCTACTCCTCACAAGTAGACCAAATGCTTCAGGCAATCCTGATGGCCTGCAGCTGCGCTTTGAAGCCTCATGGTTAAAGGCCTTCAACCAGGCAGAGAGTGCTGGAACAAAATGGCAGCCCTAGCTTAGCTGGTGATTTGACCATGGACTGAGCCTGGACCTTGCCTCTTGTAGTGTTTGCCTTTGTACTGCAAGCAGACTTTTAAAATATACAGGCATCCCCTCCACTAAAGTGGGTGTTACGTTCCAGCGCCCCACGTGCATCAGTGAAAATCGTGTAAGTGGGGAGCATCCTGTAAAAACACTTTAAATGCTCTGTTGCTCTCTTTCTCCAATCCAGACCAAAGACACTGTATCCAAAAATATCCACAACTAGAATGGAGGCTCTGGGACTGGCTGGAGGGTGTGCAGGAAAATGGCGACGGCTGCTGCGCTACCCAGCAGGAGGAGGCTGAGCAGCCTAAGCAAAGGCCCAATGAGTCTCCAGTCTCTTCTCCACCCTCAGTGAAATCCTCTTTGGGCCTAGGGAGGGTCTCCTCATGACTCTCCAGCTTTCTCCTTCCATTTCCAGGTATAAATTAAATTATTTAATTATTTCCTGGCTCTGTGCTTATAAGCGGTTGCGGGTCGATAGCACAAAAGTGAGATTGTCCCAGTGAGTGGATTTGGGACTCATAGATTTGGTTTCATCTGAAGCAAGACGCTACCTAAATTGTGCATGATTTTTCCTGTGCTGTCATATATCAGGTCCAACTATCGGGCCATCTAGTTCAGTGTTGACAACACTGAATCGCAGTCGTTCTTTGGGGTTTCAGACCCAGGTCTTTGCCAACCCTCCCAGGAGATGCCAGGGATTGAACTTCTATACATGAAGCCAGAGCTGTACAACTGAGCAACACTGCTTCCCAAACAAAAGGAATAAATATCTGTGGCTCATTGTCTACTACAGCACATCTCTGAGGGGTAATTAAAGTCAGGTCTCAAATTTGCCGTATGAAAGTATTTATTGGAATGCCGATCTCCGCCTTCTCTCATTAAATCGATGCATCAAGTGAGTATCGAGGGAATCGCTGCCATGCTGACTGCTGGGTGAGCAGCCTCATGGTACACATCTATCTTTTTAGACCATGACTGTGTCAGGGCAGCTCAACAGAAATAATTCCCACCCCCCGTACCCCACACCAGCATTTTCAGTCCCTCCGCCCCCGTAGCTGCTTAACAAAGCCAGTTCTTTTCTTTGGGAACATTTCAGCTAGGGTATTAAGTGCAAGTGGAAAGATGGCTGGTGAAAAGATGAAAAGGTCAGATGCAAATCTTACAAAGCTACAGTGGAAGAGTTCAAGCTGCGGTCGAACCTTGTGGACCCAAGGAGGTGCAGAGAGATAACCCAATGTAAGTTGTACTGAAATTTTGCAGCTCGTGTCATAGTCTGTACACCTCTCCTCATGCCTTGAATGCCCCTAAACTAGGCATAGGCAAAATCAGCCCTCCAGATGTTGTAGGACTACAACTCCCATCATCCCTAGCTAACAGGACCAGTGGTCAGGGATGATGGAAATTGTAGTCTCAAAACATCTGGAGGGCCGAGTTTGCCTATGCCTGCCTGTGATGTTAACATATGAGAGTGCTGGAGGTGAAATAGTTAAACAGGTTACCCAATCAGAACCCGGGGGGGTGGAGTCAGAGGGACTATAAAACCAGCTCTGGGAGAGTTCGTTGGGAGTTGGGTGGTTGGTTGGAGTGGGAGTGAATTGGGATAGAGTCTGTGGGTAGGTTGAGCTAGTGTAGCGAAATAAGCTGAGTCAGGAACAGTTAGGGGCTAGGAAGACAAGTAAATATCTGAGAGGTGGTTTAGTGAGTGAGAGCAGGTAGCAGAAGTTATAGGTCTGGATAGGCACCCCATGATTGTAATTGACCGATATCGTTTATGAAACGATAAACTGCAATAAATAAACAGAAGTTTATGTTCCAATTTAACCCTGACTGGACTCAGTATTGTACCAGGTAGGGCCTGGGTGGTGGCAGCGAGAAATAAAGTGGTGGCACAGGGATCAATAGACGGTGAAACATCCGGGGACCCTGTGTGATCGCCACACTGCCCTAAACCAACCTTCCCAGTGCCAGGGACCTTGGGAAACGTCATTTCCTCAGCCACCCTGAAAACTGTACCTCTCGGGGCTCCTTGCATGTGGGACGCTTCTGGGCAAGGTAGCAGAATCCTAGGTGAATGGAACTCTGTAGTGGAGCACCCTGATGTCTATACTAAAAATTATGCCAGGGAAAATTACATTTCTCAGGATCTGGTTCTTGGGATGCTGCTATAGCACCACTCAAGGTACCAGTGAGGATGGCAGGAAGAGAAGGAAGAAATGGAATGCTCTAATTTTTCTTTCTGCTCTGAACAGTGATGAATAAAGTACACTTCGTTATTTAAAAAGAAAGTGTTTCCATGTGTCCATGATACATCAATGACTCCATGTTGGACAGATTAACTATTCAATCACATCTTTTTTTTATTGTTCCTCAGCCAGGTCCTGTTTAAATGCAAATCTGATCATGTGGAGAGCACAGCTACCTCTTGGAAAGCCACTGTGCAAATGTGTCCTTCGCGGTGGCTACTTATTTTATCAAACGAGGATAATTTGTCATAGAGAGACGGTGACACCGACTTCTTTCCTCAACCTGCTGTGAGGGCAAGGGACAAAGGACAATTGATTTTTTTCTGATTAATATACTCCATTCTGCCCAGCTACTGAACACCAGAGAGTACAAAGTACTAGGGCTGCATCTTGCCTTGAACTATGAAACAGAAATCTCTCTCGAAATCAATATGGAGTCTGCTTCAAAATCAATGGCTCCTGGCCAGGCATTAAATATCCTCTGCCAGATGCAGGCTCAATATATGCTTTGGACATGGTGACACCATCTGAGCAGAAGAGCTGCTTATCCGTTGTGTTGTCACCATCTGTGTCATATATTGAACTGAACACCCATCTGTTATTTGGAAAACATATTTACAGTAGGTAGAACAGGGGGTCACCAACATTTTCAGGCCCATGAGAACATCTGGATTTTTGAGTAGCCAGCTGGCCACAGCCCTAAACAGGAGACCTCCTCATTTGGGTCTCCATTGCATATCTGTCTTACATATACAGTGGTACCTCGGGTTACATACGCTTCAGGTTACAGACTCTGCTAACCCAGAAATAGTACCTCAGGTTAAGAACTTTGCTTCAGGATCAGAACAGAAATTGTGCTCTGGCAGCATGGCGGCAGCGGGAGGCCCCATTAGCTAAAGTGGTGCTTCAGGTTAAGAACAGTTTCAGGTTAAGAACGGACCTCCGGAATGAATTAAGTACTTAACCCGAGGTATCACTGTGCAACGTAACCTCTTTGGCAAGGGGATGGAGCAACAACTCTCCTAAGAGATTTTTAGCTTTGAGAAAAGTCAGGTTAGATTAGAGATGTATAAAATTAAGTGGCTAGAGAGGAGGTTTTATTTTCTTTCTGCCTCTCTCATAATACTATGCAATGAAGCTGAGTGTTGGAAGATTCAGGACAGACAAAATAATTTATTCACACAGCACCAAGTTAGGGAATTCGCTCCCATAAAAAGCAGTGATGGCCACCACCTTAAAGGTAAGGTACCCCTGCCCGTACGGGCCAGTCATGTCCGACTCTTGGGTTGTGTGCCCATCTCACTTAAGAGGCCGGGGGCCAGCGCTGTCCAGAGACACTTCCGGGTCACGTGGCCAGCGTGACGAAGCTGCTCTGGCGAGCCGGCACCAGCGCAGCACATGGAAACGCTGTTTACCTTCCCGCTATAAAGCGGTACCTATTTATCTACTTGCACTTAAGGGTGCTTTCGAACTGCTAGGTGGGCAGGAGCTGGGACCGAAAGACGGGAGCTCACCCCGCCGCTGGGATTCGAACCGCCAACCATGCGATCGGCAAGTCCTAGGCACTGAGGTTTTACTCACAGCGCCACCTGCGTCCCTGGCCGCCACCTTGGATGGCTTTAAAATGAGATTGA